TTATCCTCCCTCACGATATGCACACCGACACTGAAAACCAATCCTTAGACTCATAAATCATCCTTTAATAATGAGTCTTTTTGGTGAATCTTTTTTCATTCCATGTAAGGCAAGCATCGGTTTTAGATGTCATAGTATTGGATGTTATTCTGCATGTAAGTGAATTTAGTAGCTGATGAATACACCTCAGTAATATCAATTGACATCAAAAACACTCTAGCTAATAGTTTTCAGTTCACACATTCCTCCCTTCATGGCTCTATCCACCCACCCCTCTTCCCAGAAAGGCCAGACAGGGAATGACCCTCTCCTGGGCGATGCACTGAAGGATCCTGGGTGCTCCATACAGGCCGCCCATGCAGGAAGCCAAGGAGGAGATGTAGAGGCCCAGCAGAAAGAGGAAACCCACCAAGGAGACCTGGAGGAAGAAGGAAAACAAACAGAGGGTGAAAAAGGATGGGGTGGGGATGAGAGCTCACAACAGCTACGCCCAATCCAGTTCCGCTACAGCCAGCCCCTTATAAAAACAATGAGAAATCACCACTGATGGGCAAGTCAAGGACTTGGTCAAAGCAACATCTAATGGTTGTATTTTATTAAAACGTCTAACTCATGTGCGATCATTTTATAATGAATTTGAGATTTTTACCTTTTTGCAGTAATGCTATGCTGAATGTATGCTACACCAAGAGACAAATGATCAGTTTATTTGTTTGAAGCTGGGCAACACTTTCTGAAGACAATTTATGCATTGATTTCTCATTCCCTGTCCTCAAAACAAAACACTGTATATGACCGATTTGTTAGAAGTGCACAGTGCACAAGGCATCAAAGGCCTATTAAAGCTGTATAGTGGAGGCTTTGGCGAAACACATGTTATTGCAACAGGGAAGACAAGAGAAGACTTTGCTTCTTTTGGTCAGACAATGCCAAACCACCAACTGCACATATGACAGCGGCATGACTCTGTGGAAAAAGAGGTGCTAAACGGGGGGGGATCTGCATGCCCAACAAATTCCTATCCTGAAAAACCTGAAATATTAAGCTGCACATTTTCTACATGAAGCAAGAATAAGAATATAAATCTTTCAGTACTATAGCAAGTGGTCCTCCCAGTTCTGAAACAGTTATGGTTGATAGTGTAGACAACACATTGGAAATCCTCCCCCGACTTTTGAAAATTATTGCTGCCACCCCCCCAAAACAATACACTTCCAAGTCTAATTTATAATTGTTTCAACATATGAATATAACCCCTACGTTGCTATGCAGTATTATATAGTCAGAACACAAACTAACCACACCGCTAATATAGTGAGACACCATGGGAAGTCCCCTTACCTCTCCCCTTTTGTTGGAAGGCCCCCCCCTCACAAAGCCGAATGGAAACACAGAGAGGAGTTTACCTTTTCAGCTATCAAGAAGTCACAGCGTAGAGCTTCTCTGGTGCAGATGGCCCCCAGGAGAAAGACAAAGACCAGATACAGGAACCACCTGTGGGTCACCAAAAGTACAGCACAGAATTACTATTAACAACTATTGAGTCACGACAAGTGAATGTCTGATAGCGATGTGTTTTTAGAGTGGGTTACTTTTGTTTTCCAGTGAATGAAAAAGAAAAACCCACTCAGTGTACCGAGAAAACCACAAGAGTAAAATCTAAACATATAGGATTAAACCTTTCTGAAAGATCAACCCACCGAATCTAACAAAGGTTTTTCCTGTACTTTCTATTTCTTAATGTACAATCACTGTAGTCATAGTTAATCTAGTTTAAGTATTGCGTACTGTGGTGTGTAAATCTTTCTATTGTTTTTGTATGTAACTAGACAGTGCCATTAAAGAGCATTTCTCACCCCTTCCTGAGTTGTTGCTTTTTCACATTTATCAAATCTCAGTGTTTAAGATCATCAAACAAGTTTTAATATTAGAAAAAGATCATCAAAGTAAATACAAATTGCAGTTTTTAAATGATGATTTTATTTATTAAGAAGAAAAAGCAAGCCAAACCTACCTGGCTGTGTGTGCAAAAAATAATTGCCCCCCCCCCTCTTAAATCAAGAATTACCTGTGATTAGCCACATTTTTTGGAAAGTTGAGATCAAATTCAATAGGCAAAATTAATTAGATTAAAAGATCTCAAAAAGCAGCACATCATGCCACGAGCTAAAGAAACTCAAGAACAAATGAGAAACAAAGTCGCCGACATCTGTTCATCCAGAAAGAGTTTCAAAGTCATTTTATAAGACTGTCTGTGGTTCTCCGGTAAACCACAGAGAGAGCCGTTATCCACAACTGTAGAAAACTGAGAACAGTGGTGCATCTTCCCAGAAGAGGCGGACCTACTACAATTACTCTGAGATCTCATCAACGACTCATCCAGGTGGTCATAAAACAACCCAGAACACCATCTAAAAAACTTCAGGCCTCACTTGCCTAGTTATGGTCAGTGTTTATGATTCAATCCCCAAGACTTTGGAGAAAATTTTCTGTGGACTGATGAAAACAAAAGCATAACATTTTGGGTTTGAGTCGCCTTTCCCATGACCATAAGCCAAACACGGCGGTGGTAGTGTGATGGTTTGGTGCTGCTTTATTGTTTCAGGACCTGGATGACTTCTGTAGTTCATTATTCCATGAATTGTGCTCTCTACCAGAAAATCCTGAAGGAGAATGTCCGGCTATCAGTTCGTCAGTTTGTGCACTAAACACACGCACTTGTGTTAGGCAGCAGGACAATGATCCAAAACACACCAGCAAGTTCACCTTCTTAATGTCTCACAAGACAAAAATGAAAGTTGTGGAAAGGTCTGCCCAAAGTTCTGACTTATATCCAATTGAAATGCTTTGACATGACCTTATACAATCCATCTGTACCAAAAAACCCTCCAATGTTGTTGAATCACAGCAGTTCTGCAAAAAAAGAGCGGGACAAAATTCTTCCACAGTGATATCAAAGACTCACTGCCAGTTATCAAAAATGCTTGATTGCAGTTATTGCAACTAAGGATGACACAACCAACTATTAGGTTTAGGGGGAAATTACTTTTTCACACAGGGCAGGTAGGATTGAACTGCATGCATATTTACTCGGGTTATTTTTGCCTAATGTTAAACTTTGTTTGATGATCTGAAACATTTAAATGTGAATTTGATAGATATGGAAAAAACAAGAACTCGTGCAGAGGGTAAATACTGTTTGACAGCACTGTATAGATATGTTTTAGTGGATTTGGGGTGTTGTCATACGAGGTGAAGACAGCTGCTAGTGTTCCCACGGGGATGTTGTGCTCAGGTCGCTGAAGGTCTGAGCTCATGTTGAAGCCTGCCATAACCCCTACAACACACACAAAGATGGGCAAACCACAAAATGTACACAAGGTGCTTGTCAATGCAAACTTCATTTTTATATTGCATATGAAGCAAAGAATGATAAGCAGGATTTGAATGTTTGCATGCTTTTCCTATTCTGGGATTTTCTTTTTGTGTGAAATACAGAAATCTAAAAGAAGTTGTTGAGGATCTACTCACCTGTAGCAGCAGGGAAGAAAACCCCAAATACTGTAAAGAAGTTTTCCCCAGTGGTATAATCTGGCATAGTGTTGCTGCTGAGCAGCCCAGCTGAATAACCAATGAAACCATGCTCTGAAAGTGGAGACAAACTCACATAAAGCACATCAATACAGAAAGGCATGTGAGAATTACCAGCATTTCTTCACTGAGTAAACAGTTGTGAACATTAAATGATGATGAAGGAGGAAGAAACTATGCAAACTCTATTAGCTAGAGGTATAAAAATTAGTTTCAGGTCTTTCTTTAGACATGAAGTCAGCTCTCTGTTAGGCTTTTACTTATGTATCAATATTTTAGGCAACAAACACACAATCCCAGGCTGTAAATGACTCATAAAGTTAAGTATTCTTGTTATATCTTATGTAACATTCATCTGTTTGAAATCAGTTCATGAAGGGACACATAGCAGTTCCACCTGAGATAATGATGGTTATTTCTCTAGTGCATAAGGGAATAAACTGGTTTAAAAAATAAAGAAGAAGAAACATTTGCTTCTTTAACATGGGCTTATTAATAGATTTTGCGTTTAAGGAATAATTATAATAATGAGTTTCTATTTCTCACTTCTTATTAATACAACCCAACAAATGTTGCAGTCTAGTCCAATCTTAAAATGTTTTTAGCTGCTACATAAGGCCAGCAGTTACCTTATGATTTTAAAACACATCAATCTCACAAATTGATTAATGATGTGTTCTTAGATTAATAAGCAGTCACCATATTTGGCCTTTTCCTACTTTTTAAGCTACGCTTTGTGCAGAAAATTAGATCAACTGTATAAGAAATCACAGCATACAGAAAGGAAAAACATACGGCACTATATACCAGGTGTTTGAACAGTACAGCATTACATCTGCATAGTCATTAGAGCCCTTCATAACTCAACAACATCTGCATCATAGTCAGCAATATAACATGCTGCAAAGTCTATTTCAGTCAAAATAAATGGCAACAACAACCGGTGACACTTTTCAAATCTACAGACTAAAGACATGCCGGGATGGTTCTAGGTCAGGTCAGTTTGCTGAATGTGTGAAGGGGGCCATTTAAACTACGCAGTCTGAAGGACCCGCCTATGTTACAAAACCGGACATTTCCCCCTTGGTTATCTTGTGATGGGAAAGAATGTGTTCTCTCAGATTAATGACATGTTTATCCAAAAGGAAGTTACCACCCTTTTCAGAAGCTCAGCAGCTTCCAAGTTTGGGAGAAAGAATGAAAGTGAGCAAGAGAGGGAGACAGAGAGCGGGAGGAAAGAGCGAGAAAGGGAGAGACACATAGGGAGAGACACATAGCGAGAGAGAGAGAGAGAGAGAAGAATGCTCATTTTTTTCCCTTTTGTTTTACAAAAGGCCAAAAGAAAAGGCCTGGATACACTCTCTGTTCCAGCTTTGTATGATCTCTAGCATATGCGTTTAATGAGGTCAAAAAAGCTCAAACTCCTGTTCACTTTGTGACCCACTAGGATCGCCCTCTATCCAAACAATCATGATCTAACAAATCCAGGGCAGCCAGTGTCAAACTGCATCAAGAGCACCCCACCCATATTACAACATCATAGTCCAACATCCAAGTGGGCTCAACTCTGCCAGCTCTCACGGCTAAGCCCTCCAAGTACTTATTTTGGAGCATTCACATATTCATTACACTTTAATATAAAATCCTTATATGTACTACATTGTCCCCTCATTTTCTCTAGGAATAATAACAATGATAGGTTGGCAAAGATTTGTGTTGGGCCCTGTTGCAAACTACACCTCGTTTTAAAAACTACAGCATCATAATACTTCACACAAGATCCAGAAACCCCGTTTAAGCCATTGTGTATTACTTTCATTGCATTGGCAGTGTGTTTGAGATCATTGTCAAGTTGCCAAGCAGAAGCTTTACAGAAGGTGGATCAAAATCTGATGGTACTTTTCTGCATTCGATAATTATGCATCTACAAGATCCTCAACACCACTACCTGAAATAAAGACCCAAACTATGACAGAGCCTCCTCTGTGTTTTCCAGATGGCTGTAGACACTCACTGTTGTTCATCTCTTCTGACCTCCTCCATACATGCCCATAATGATTTCAACCAAAGATTTCAAATTTGGATTCAGGTTTCACACATAAATCCAGTTCTTGTGCAATTTTGCATACTTTAGCCTTTCTTCTCCATTTCTTTTCCTTAAAAAATGACTTCTTGACAGCTGCCCTTCCACCAAAACCATTTCCTACAAGGTCCATGTTAAATCATTCTTCTGAAAATGGTCAGGTACAAGCACTGGACTAAATGAGTGAAAAAGCAATGAAATGTCTGAAGAACAACTCTAAAAGTCCTTTAGAAAACCTGGAAAACTATTTCTCAAGACCATCCACCTATTTATCCATAAGAGGTGACTCAAGACTTTTGCATAGTATTGTAAAAGTAATATTAAAATGTGTATGAAGGAAACTTTGACGCTTTTTTGGAGCTTTCCCAGTTTCCAAATAAGTAAAGTTATCTAATTACCATAATTAACTGACAAACTTGATTGCTTGCTTTATGTGGGGCCTTCTTTATGAAGTTTGCAGCATGTAAGCAACCACTATTACCCCTAATATTTATTCATCAAAGAATCCAATCTAAGTGCTTCCTATATAATACTTAATCAGAAGGTAACTCCCACTAGGCTGATGATCCTTTTTAATACACAGCTATTAGACTTGTCCTGACACGTCTTCAATTTGATCCATAGCATTTTGTAGAGATGTAGAGCTTTATAAGCCTATTTACTATGTTTCCAGCTCGAGCTAAGGCAAGAATGTCTTCATTCCAGTTTACTTATTCTGTATTGAGCAAGTTTACAGGCAGAGTGGGCCTCATTTCTGAGTTAACCATGCCTCTGAATGTGTAGCTAGATTACATGAACATCTGAGGCCTCTCCCTCAGTCTGAATGACCTCTTACACTCCCACACTAACTTACATAAATTGCCGTGCATGTTGCAAAGGCTGTGAGTTTACAGAGGTGGAGCAGGTCCTGCTGGGATGATCGAGAACTATATATTATAGTAAGGATCACAGGGAGAGATGATGTGGCGGTCTCTGGAGTAGCAGCAAGCTTCAGATCTCAGTTCCGGCTCGCTCTCTTTGTCATTTTCCAAAAATGTGGGTGAGTCTGGTTAACACCCTAAACCCCAGACCCAAGGAGCACATTATGGCTTCCTTTTCTGTGGGGAATAGACTTCGAGTATAAGGACAGGGTGAGGCGTGTCAGAGCGTAATTCACCGATGCACCACAATCAGAAGGGTTTGTGGTTAAACTGTTTGGTTGCAGAGACAATACATGGGCGGCATTACTGTCAGAATAATTTACTGCGCTTACAGACTTGTGAACTATTCAGGACTGTGTTACATGCTGCAGTTATGCAACACTTTAATTTTAACTCCAACTGTTACAGTGCTGCAAAAAGGACTTGCTGCAATCCACTTCTTTGACATTTTAGTGAATGGGAAAACCAGGTTTGTAAGTCAAGAGTTCATATACATAGATACTTAAATAGATAGAAACACTCCTAAATTCATCTTAATGATTACTAACAATTAACATAGGATGGTCAAAGCCAGCACCCGATATCTGTGATTTTTGTTGCTAGGGATAAAAGTTAGTGAAACATTACAGGGGCAAAACATTAGAATTAAAACCAACTCTGATAATTTTCTGCTGATTGACAATCTGTAAACTCTAAACTTTGCCTTTCTGATCATGACAGAGGTGGAAAATACTGATTGCAGTGTTTACAATGGCAATATCTGCCAAACATATAAGCAATCATGTCCATAGAAAGTGAAATTTTGATGGAATATGTGGTTAATCAGACATGCCTAAGCCGTGATAGAGCTATACAATGGTGTGTGAAAATTGGGGACATGTTATCAAACTATGACCACATGCTTTTGGCGGTGGCTCCTTTCCTCCAGGATGTGTCTCAGTGTTCAGTGAGTTCATGCTAATCTGGGCCGTTTCAGCTAGCATGGAGACCTGCTGGTCCTCTGCCAACCATTAGGTCACCAAAACACACACAGAGCTGCTCTTAATTGGAAAAATCTGGAGTGGTCATTATGGCTGGTTGTACAGATCTCAAGGGCGGAAAACTGGTCTCTACCAAGTGTGCTTTAAACAAGACTGGGAGTTGGGAGGTGTAGAGCAGTAGGCAGTCTGGTTTTAATTTCACCTGAAGTAGTCGAGCTAAATCCAACAAAAACTAACAAGACAGGTAAGGTAATCTCTCTGTTTTTAAAAAATGTATGAATGTTTTATCATGTGTGTGAGAACTCTTGGGTCTTGTGTGATATGTGTTGTTCACAGACTGATTTGACTCCTGGAACACTTTTTTCTTCCTACTCGGCAGGAAGTTGATAATCAGTGAGAACAGGAAATGTAGGGAAGGACTTCCTGGAGGTCAACAAAAAAATACCCCTTCCACCACACCCAAAAAAATTACTCACAATAATAATAAAATTAAAAATAAATAAATAATAATTTTCAAACGTAAAATCTCAAAATACAACATAACAATACACATTAACTAATCGCTAAAGTGTGAAAGAAATAAACAGGTTAATGGACAGAGGAATGTAAGTAGTATTCTGAGTAAAATAAGTGATACTGCAGCTACACCTACTGACTAAAACAGGTCACAACAGGTTCCCACACTCCTTCCATCACACTACCTCTTTGGAAGCCCCCCCCCAAACAAATACAGCATAATAAAGTATTGGTATTTATGACTGGAAAGCCTTATACAAAACACTAGTGTTCCCTGCAATCTGAGCCAGGCTTCTCTTTATATTCTACTAGAGATCTGATACTCAAACACTCAAAGAGTCAAAGACAGCTTCAGCTCTAGATGTTTTGTGTACTAATGCTTTTTAAACCTTTAAAGCCTGAATCACCACATAATTGCCAGAAAATTCTGAATTTATTGAGCTATTTAACAAATTTCTTTAAAAAATAATTAATTACATTTTAATTTCCACATATGACTTTTAGTCTGCATTGTATTTCCTGCATCTGGCATTTTTTCAAATTGCTTAAAAATGTATTGTGCAATTTATTTAGGTGTTTTTCAGGGTGGGGGAAAAAGGACACTGATGATGTAAGAGTCTCAAAAACTCACAAAAAATTGTATGTATCAAATATTATACAGTAGGTGTTTATTAACAGCAAAAATACTTAAAAGCCATGTTGGATTCTTACAGAAATTAAGAGTCAAATTAAAGACTCCACTACAACTACTTCTGACCAGCAGCCATCCTAGCCTCCTAATTTTCACACAAATCTTCCTAATGCATGAAAAAATGTAACTATAACTGTGACTGTCTCTCTCGTCTTTGACACAGTAACCGATTGTTGATTTTTTTGTTTCTCATTTTCATCGTGATCAGAGTGACGGTTGTTACCTGGGTGACGGTTGTTACCTGGGTGACGGTTGTTACCTGGGTCAAGGTGTGTGAATGTGCCAATGACAAAGTCCAGGGTAGAGATGGCCAGAACAGCCAGGAGGAGCAGCTGAAGTCTGACAATCCACTTGACACCAGCCAAGTTGATTCCAAGCAGACCTAGCAGCACCGCTGCTGACATGCAGCGCACCGCCCACTGAGTCTGAAGACCCAGCAGTTCTGCCACTGACTCGGAGAACCCCGTGATGTACATCGCCCCAGCGACGCACTGCAGAGTGGTAAAGAGCATTAATAGTGACACGAGATAGAAGGAAGGAAATTCAGTTTGTGCATTCCATGATTTTCTTAAGGGATATTAAATAAATATTACAAACAAACAATTTTAGCGGTGTTCAAATTAAAACCCTCTGTTACTCACCTGCCCAAACACATAAAGGAGGCCAACAGTGCCCCCGACCCTTCCCCCTAGGATGGTAGAGATCATGGAATAGATTCCTCCACTCCCAACACCACAGTGTTCAGACACTCCGATTCCTGACATAACTGTCACTAAAGCAACCAACACAACCATGGAGACGAGAACCATCCCAAGCAGCACTCCTGTGTTCCCCTGGATAATGTTAGGAAACAGCAAAGATCCAAAGTACTGAGTGATCACTGCACAAACTACACCACAATATGCATCTGCAGTTGTGAACTGGATATATTTGGGCAAATATACCACCTGTATTGTACACATCTTCTGCACATGACATCCTGCTCTGTTTAGTGCTTTGTATTCAGTTCATTTAAATAATCCTGTCTTCACCTTTTTCTCCATTCTCTCGCATTTTTTTAATCACTCCTCTTTTCTCCTCCTTGTATTTGTTTACAATTTTCTATCTAATAGAAAAAAAAAGAGATGCTATACAGGTGTGGTGGACCATCAACACACTGACACTTTTTTTTTTTATTTGCTCAGACATTTCTGATAAGATGCGTCTCTCTCTGAAAGAGAAACCCTGTTTTGCACACAGCAAACTATATTTTAGCTGTCAAGCTAAGGGCAAACGGATGTAGCAATTACAATCACTGGGTCTCTTTGTAGCTGTGTCCTGTGATGACACATGGCTATTACAGTGTTCTGGATCAATTGTCATGATGACACATACTTAACTATATGTGAAGCTAAAAACAGTGCTAAAAAATGTGGATGAGCTGAAAGCAGAAAGCCAAACATGAAGCTAAGCCATTATAAAGTATAAAAATGAAAACATACAAAATAAAATTTGGTGATTAG